CAACTCGATTTTCAATCTATTTACGTCTAAATTAAATTGGAATGAGTCATGATCCAAACTCAAATTTATACCAACCATTTTATATTCAATTTCAACCAACTCGTCTATCTGGTATCCCAACAAACCTTATTTCTTCAACAATCTAAAGTAACTAATAATGTGCGTTCAATATTATATACTAGAAGAAACTCTATTAGATAATATCAAGTCAACCAAATAATCTGTTTTTACCGTTTTTGCTAAACCCCTCAAATTTTATAATCTTTGCTTTAATTATTAGAAAGATTCTAAGCATATTGAGTAATTTAATTAAAAACATAAAGCAATAAGTTGAGTTGTCTCATCACTATTAGCTAGCGTTTGGCCATAGAGATTCAAATATTTTTGGCAAATATTATTTGGATGAAAATTTGGGTGAAATTTTACCATGTGATTGGCCATAGAATTTGAGAAACATCTTTCATTTTTTTAAGAAATATAATTTATACTCATAAGTTTTTAAAACTATCAAACTAACCATAAATTTGTATTACATAGCACAATAGAAATCTCACGTAACAAGATTTATGACTTCCGCAACAAATCAACAAGAATCATTACAGTAAATATTTGTAAGAATCATAACAGCAAAATATTCGTATAGTGAAAAGGTCTTGGTACAAATCATGATAATGAAAATACAACTAATATAAATTCAGGGAAAAAAAAGAAAAGAAAACAAAAGGAAATAAATATTGCAATCACTGAAGAACCTATGCTTTCTCATCTGAAAGAGTTCAACCTATTCTTTAATATAATCTTCCCACATTTTATGAACAATCTCTTCTCGATGAGCTTGCATTTCCGAATCAGATGATCGAGAAGATGAAGCGATGTTGTTACCCTGAGCCAATAGTTCGTCACTTTCATCAACAACCATATCATCATTTTCATATTCATTGAATATTCCATCACTACTTTGGATGTTCACGTAAAAAATTATTGGTTGGTGTCAATAAATATATTATTTTTGTAAAATAAAAAGTTAAGGGTAAAACTTGAATTTCTAAAACTTTCCAAATAATGAAATTTGGCCCAAATACTAGTTTTTTCTAGTATTTGGGAATTTGGAAAATTTGCCAAATAATAAAAAAGTGTATGAACAAATAAAATTTGCCAAGTTTTTTCCCAAGTTTTACTTGTAAAATTTATGGCCAAACGGGCCCTTAGCGTTAATTGGACAAGTGATAACTTTTTTTTTTCCCCATATGAAGCATCGATTAAACGACCTCTAAACACCATCCTACTTGTTTTATGACAAGTGAATTTCTGAGATTTTTTTTTGTCTTTGGTCATAGTTGAAAATGAACGTTTGAATTTATTTTTTATTTTTGAAGTTCTATATTTTGTAATAATTAATTACCTTAATTACAAAGTTATATTTATAATTTTGTAAAAGATAATTAAAAAAATTATAATTTATATTATATTCTTGAGTTTTTTTCTTCTTAGTATATGTTTGTTATATTACAAATTCAGGGTACTACCTTGTACCCAAGTTAGAATCTCCCACTTAGTTAATTTCAGGCCTAGTCTGCATAGGTTTTAAGACTTTAACGTTTCAAGGGGCCCGAGGCCCATCGGGAACTCAAAACAACTAATCTACTTTTGAGCATTGTGCCGAATTTTAGGGCAATTTTCACGTATAGCAAACATAAAATTCATATTTGTATGTTATAGCAAAATATGTATAATTGCGTTCCATATCAAACTTATATATGTTTAATTCGCTATACATATACAATTGAAGCGAATTGTATAAAACGAGAAAGAGAGAAATTATATACAATTTGACTTGTATAAAACGAGAAAGCGAGAAAGACAGAATTGAATTGTATAAAACGAGAAAGAAAGAAATTATATACAATTTGAATTTGTATAAGACGAGAAAGAGAGAAGGCAAAAATAGACTTGTGCAGGTAATATACAATTGAATCAAATTGTATAAAATGAGAAAGAAAGAAATTACATACAATTTGAATTTGTATAAAATGAGAAAGACAAAAGAGACTTGCGCAGAGAAATGTTTGTATTGTATAATTATAAGTGTATAGGACGAAGATATATATATTTGCATGCGTTTATACAATTTTCTCTCACTTTATACAATTAGAAACACAATTTATACAATTTTATTGTATAAATCAAGAGAGGCGAGCGATAGGAATTAGAGAGCGAGATAGGGAGAGTGGCGAGCGAGAATATGAGGGAAAGAGGGACTGACAAACAGTTTGCTATGGAACACAAATAAATCAAAGGATAACTACTATATTTATTTTATATTATTAGTTTGTCATTCTATACAATTATCCCCTAATTTTATTAGAAACACGCTCTGGTAAGTTAGGTTGAAATTAGAAATATTAAAATAAATTCTAATAGATATTATGTTTGAGTCTTAACTTGCTCAAGTTTACTTTGAGCTTAAATAAATTGAGCTAAAATGGGTTTAAAAATGGATTGTGTTTTATCAACTTAATTTGGTTCGCGTAATCTCAATAATTTTAATATATTACTATTTAAGTTTAATAAGCACAACTTGAATTTCAACGATAGAATTTTTTTAAAAAAAGTATAAATAGATCGATAAATCCTAAAAGATGTAAAATAAATAGTAATTAATTATAAATTCAATATAGTGATATATATTATACATTGATGAAGATAACGAATCTTAAAATGAGTTTAAATTGAAGATTAAATTAGGTTCAATTGAGGATTCTCTCGGTATGTGTTGAGTTGAGATTGAACCCAATTAGAATTATTTTGAGCTTAATCCTTAAAATTCAGAGCTAGTTACCTATAATTGAGTTCATATTTGACACCTCTAAATATTATGTATCTTATCAAATTTTAGTGTCTTTAAATAGGTTCAGATACATGTATCTCGAATATATTGAGTCAAATCTAGGCGTAATTTGTTCTATATACATTATATCCAAAATGGATTCACATGATCAGGATACAAACCTAATCTCCCTCGCCTTTTTCCATTTAGCTTGTCACTCTCCTCCATCTCGCTCGTCGCTCTCACATATATATGGTATCCTAGATACACGTGTATCACTCCATATACATGTACTGGTGTGATTCAAATGTTTCCGAGATACATACGAATGTTGCTCGTCTCTTTCCCCAATCTCGCTCGCCTCCTTCTCCTGTCTTGCTTGTCTTTCTCCTTATTTTGTGTATCTGGTAGAAAAATACATGTATATATTTAAGTATAAGATACATAATAAACTCTTAATTAGTGGTAAGATAAACAATATTTTAAAAGTATAGACAATAATGATATATATAGTCGTAAAGTATGTCTCTGTAGTTTTTCCAATTTTATTTGTGAAACTTATAATAAATATTGATATTTTGAGCTTAAATTTGTGAAAAATGGTGAGATTTTAGTTAGTTACAAACCATAATACTAACATATTAATTGAAATTGTAATAAAATATATTGTATTGGTATACATGATAATAGTCAAATATATCTATTAGTACACATAATAAGTATATATGCACATATATAATTGGTTGAAATTGTAATGAAATGTATTTTGTTCGTGTACATAATAATAGTCAAATATTGTATTAGCGCACATAATAAGTGTATATACACCTATACAATAGTTTAATAGCTGAATATATTATATTCACGCGTATCATGTATATGATATATCTCTTTAGTTACATCTTCTCAAATAATAAATGTAATTCAACTCAAAACTATGTAATTTTTTAAAAATTACTACTACTTATGATGGATAAATAGAGGGTTGAGTTAGCTAAAGTCATATAATCCCCCCCCCCCC